TCAGAAAAATCTGAAAAAAATATATGTTATGTAACATAACAATACAAGCAACTTTTGTCATGTCCAAATTCACAGTCAATCATGAGTTAAAAATCGAAAACCGAAAAAAATATATATATTTTTTTTTACGGAAAAAAAAAACTTTTTCTCCCGGACGACGGGGGTACCGGACGTATGGGGGAGACGTCCGGAGGAGACGACCGGCCCCCGGACCATTGGTAACCTAGCTTTTTGCTGACAATTCTGATTCTCAGTCTGCTTGCTCAACTTTGCTCTGTTTTTTTTTTTTTTTTTTTTTTTTTTTTTTCCTGAGTATGTTTGTGAGCAACCCATCTTGTCTTCGAAATATTTCCCGCCCGAAGGAAATATTTCAAGCTGTCCGGTTTTTTTTTTTTTTTTATTCCTGAGTATGTTTGTGATCAGCATACATATACAGATTCTGAATATGTATGCTGCTTGGTACTTACTTGCTGAGATTTCAATCTGTGTATGTGTTGTCAACGGTCACCACGAACAACAAGCCCTTTTCCGCCCAGATGAGCAGATCACAAATTCGCAGAATCTGGCCCGAAATTGAACCATCTTTACCTCTATTATAGCAAACAACATGAAGCACACTACGAATGACATCTTGTCCAAAATTGAAGCAGCTTTACCTCTATACTACCGTCTTCCCCCGAACACAACGCACCCTAAAAATGAATGTATACAAGCTATATTTCCGGTCAGATGCAGCCAAAATGAGGGTGCGTTGTGTTCGGGGGAAGACGGTAGCAAACAACATGAAGCACACTAAAAACGGTTTGTTGCCTTTTTCTTGCACAGTCCTTTGTTTGCTTTCCTTTTCTACTCTGGCTATTTTTTCTTGGGTTTCATCTTTCATTTTTTCTTTTCTATTTCTTTTTTGAGTCTCCCTCTGTGTGTGTGTGTGTGTGTATGTGTGTGTGTGTGTGTGTGTGTGTGTGTGTGCCTGCCACGTCGATCGTCGGAGTCATAAGTATGGTCCACGGAGGAGCAATGCTAATCTTCTCCGTATCGATCCAACCTGTCTCCGTCGCGAGTCATACGTATGGTCCGCGGAGGAGCAATGCTAATCTTCTCCGTATCGATCCAACCTGTCTCCGTCTCGCCTCTCCCTCGCGTCTCTCTCTCTCTCTCTCTCTCTCTCTCTCTCTCTCTCTCTCTCTCTCTCTCTCTCTGAAACGGTATTCACCAGTTCGAAGTAGCTGATGTAGGACCCAGGGTTCGATCCCTAGATCCCCAACTTACCTGTGTACAATATCTGTGACCACTTGAAGAATTGAACCTGCGACATGTAGAACCGCCAGTGGTAAGTAGGTCTGTCGTAGGTCCTTAGGTAGCCAGGATTTGATCCATAGACTTGTAGAGTAGAAGTCCAGCTGCAGTCCTTCTAGAAGGTTGGCAAGTGGTCAAGTGGAGTGACTAAAGCAAGCCCATGTTGGAGACGAGGACAAGTGGCAAGGGCAAATAGTAGGACCCCAGTGCRACTGCACTGCGTCGTAGGGTTGTCACTATGAAGTCATGGGAAAGTCTAGAAAGTACCAGTCCGGTCCAGCAAGTACCACGGGGGGGACTGTGTGCATCATGGGCCAGGGATACAAGGCAGACCAATGCAACACAGAAGTATAAATCCAGAGGCTGCGTCCAGCCATTGATTCATTCCTGCGGAAGCTCTGCGGAAGCGCTGCTCGGGCGTCTTGTGCAAGGGAGGTCTGCAGATGGCCTGAAGACGAAGAGGGCAGAAGTTAGTGATAGGCTAGTTAGCTGTTAGTGGCCATGTGCCATAGCCATAGATAGTTAGTGMGTGTGTATGTGTGTGTGCAGTGGTTAGCGTGCATGGTATCCAGGGTGATCCGGAGTCGAGTTGCGTGTGAACTCTGAGTCGAACGTGTAAGTGTGGGCGCCCAGCGCCATAGTCAACTGAAGTAAATTCGGATTTGAGTTGAGTTGCAAGCTACC